AGCAGCAACAACGCTACACATAAAAACTGATGATGGTGGAAAAATACACCGAAACGTATTTTGATTAATAAATAGAGACAATAAATGACTGAACCTCAGGAATAGATTTGATTTGGAATTGAAACACAGTCAGGAAAGTATGTACAATGATATATAAATAATGCACTTCATTTTTCACAGTTGCCTTTCATCTTCGAACAATTTGTGTTCATAATTTTTGGTTGCATGACACACATTTTATTAATGCTTGTTTAAAGTTTAAATATGCCCATTTGTAAGGGTTATACACAGAGAACCAAAGCAATGTTTAAATTCATAAATTCATAAAAAAAATATATTTGTTGGGTTTTGTTTAAATTACTGTTTTTTTTTCTTCATAATTATGAAGGATATGATTCATCTTCTTAACACTAGTCTGGCAAATTGGTTTCTCATCCTACAACAATCGTTCATTATCTATTCTTGTAAATGAAACAATTCTCAAAATCAGTATCTTCAAAATTTAGAGTGTCAAAAGTTGGTAGTCAAAAGCACCGGTTTCGAGCAAATTAGCCGTCATCAACTTTAGCCTACTTATATCAGAAACTATGAATGAAAATATCTAGTTTTTCTCAAGTTCTCAATATTAGCTTCCAGATTCATCTGTATTCTCAATAGTGAATGTATCGAGATAGTTCATATAATTTTTAGTAGTATAAATAATAAGCGGGCAAACCCTATGGGGCCATTGAATCTTTTCGTTAGTGCGATTTATTCTGTGTTTGAGAACTCAMAGTTTMAACAGATCAGGCTTCTTTATGACGAACTTGATTGCCAGCAGTAAACGTTGAACTSAATTCCRAAATTTCCTTGTTGGTGTGAAAAAGTGTTCGAACAGCAAACCGCAATTGGCTTAATTTGATTCAATTAAGAACCGTTTGTCTAAAGGCATGCGAAYAGAGCAAACCGCGATTGACCATTGATAATTCGCCCAAACCACATTTTGCTGCCACAAGTGAAACTGATATAAATTAAGTCGTTAATCAGTCTGATGGATGGATTCGGCAAAATACAGCTCATTTAACCTTTCAAAATTGTACACGATCCGCAATCGAGGCCCGCCTAGGCCAATCCCGTTCGTGCCCGCAAATGCAGCAATTTTGACATTAACCAGAATAGAATAATCCTATCAATAGTATTAAAGTTGCATTCGATGCGAAATTGGAATGCAACCGTTGATTCAATTGGAGGCAGTTACGAGCACTAGAATAATTATTGTTCTGGATCCGTTCATTGCGGGCAGTGAACAGTACTGAAATTTTCTACAGATTATCCATTGCAGTGAGTAGAGTTTCAGAAGTCATTTTGAGAGTTTTTCAAATATTCCTGTCCCAGCTTAACCAGATAAGTGTGCTGCAAAGATGAATATTTTCGGTGGCAAAATTGACAAACATTGTATTTGAAATCGCACATAAAACCCTGTAAGGGAAACGCAAAATTTACTTTGTTAAAGTATTTAACAACGTTTAGAGAGAACGATTTGAATTCTGGGACACAATCTATGGATGATTTGAAAGAAATATAAACAAACACGTTTTGCGACTACAAAATTCGTCAAAATGCCTGTTAACGCGGGAGCGAAAATATCCCAATGATATTATTTGCATATTTGAAAATTTTTATTTGAACAGAAATCCTCTGCTGCCATCAACCTCTTGAGTTTGGAATCGCTCTCATAAATAAGATCGAACCGGCATATTTACTTTTTCCATCTCAATGTGTTGTGTATACAGTGGCTGATCGGGGGAGACCGGAACATTTTCACAGCAAATATGTCTGTCATCATAATGAACATTTTTCCCGGACATGAAGACACATTTGGAGCCCTGAAGTCTAACAGATTATTTCGGCCTACTATTCGGCTTTGATGAGTTTCACATCGGTTTGAATGCCGGTATTTTGTCAAATTTGTATCTAAACTGTTTAGTTTGTCAATTACTAACATACGAGATTATTATTCCAATCGAAAAAATGTTTCAAATACAAATTATCGGTGTACTATGGATGTCRTTAGCTCAAAATCCGATAATCCGATCTAAATTTTATTGATAAAAAATGTCTGGTTTCCTTGCCTTTGATGGTAAAAGTTCTTCAAAATATCTGGARTATTTTGATGAAAGACCCGAGTTTGCCTGCTTTGGGCGAGTGATCAACTTTGGGAGGTTTTGGTACAAAAACTACCAGAACTTTTTATTTGGCAGAATTTATATCAACTAATTTTTTTTGAGCTGATGACCTATCCTCCTTTGACATTTTTATTCTCTTTATAAAATATTGAAGCATTTATTGTTTTTGCACAAAAAATATTTCCGTTTTCTTGCTCATTAACACCTGCAGACAGTAACTGTAAATGTCGTAGTAAGTGGAGTAATTTTCGGAGACAGAACAAAGCATCATTGCTTTCTAGTCACTTTGACTGAAACGTTGTATCTAGAATTCAAATTATATCCACGAATATTTGGAAAATGTAGCCTTTAATTGAGAGGAAAAGATCATTGCGTCACATTACGAACATAACCAGAGATACTTTTTAAACAACACCAAGAGGTGAACCGATTTATTGGCCCACCCGAGCGAAAGATCTGAGGTCATGCGATTTCTATTTATGGACTTACATAAAGGAAAAGTGACATCAACCAAATACCCAATGGAGTTTTTGAAAATGTATATATCAATTAGTTAATAAAGGCTGTTGTGAATTTAGCACTATTTTTCAATTTAAATTAAAATGTAGCTTAAAATTTAACGGTTTATTAGCATTTTGCTCTATCATTGCCAATAGTTTTGTTTGGAGTCAAATGTTTATTTTTCAAAAAATCATGTGAGGTTTTTCCCATTATTAGCAGTATTACTAGCCTTTATCAAGAGAACAAAATTGGGAGAGGTTTTAGATAAATTTATTTGTCGAAAACGGCAAACATTTCGACTTAAGAACAAGGCAGCAGGGAGCGGATATTGAAAGTAATAAAATATCTGCCTTAATATGGGACCTAAATAAACGAAACAAAATTTAATAAAAGCCCAACTGGCCTTACATAATTCGTAACTTACACGACACACAAACGGTTCGTGTAGTGGTTTTCGCGTGTGTTGTCTGTGACGTGGCACGGGCGGATGACGTCATCACCGAGAAGTATCGATTTTTGTGGGCAAGAGAGTGAAAACTGGCTCTGCTTTAACTGGGTTTCCTGAATTTGGCCTTTCGAACGATATTTATGCCGATCGGGGCCCGTCCTAAATTAATAAGTCACAAGTTTCGCTGCCGAGACGTGGGAGTGTGAGCACATGACTGATAGATTCCACCAGCAATTTTGCTTTATTAATATCCTATCATATCATGCGCGGTTTCTGGCTTATATGGTTGTTTGTTTGCAAAATACAGTCGGTTGCTTCGGTTCAAAATTTGTCAAGCATTGATCGGGCACAAAAGTTATGAGCCGGCGTTTTTCAGAGTTAGCGATTCTACATTGTCGCTCTTTATCATTTCACAGTTTTATGTCTTATTTTCCGTTTCGTTTCTGCCATGCTCCTCAACTGCTGCAAACATTCTTATAGAAACTGCTCTCTATCTCTATCTATAGAATGTACATTCATAACTTATGGTGATCTGACACACTACTTATCTTCATTTGAAGATTTTCGCTTTTAATTGGGAATTCTAGAATATGGACTTGAAGCGATTGAAACTGATAATTTCTTTACCAAACAGGGCGCCCAAAAGTGAAAAATCTAAATTTCACACAGCTATATGTATTTTCGAAAGTAGCTGTAAATATGACTTGAACTAAAACTAACTTTAAACGTTAAACTAAAATTTACTTGACTCAAACATATTTGGTACAATTCAGTCTGTTGCTCAAGTGGAATAATTTGTTAAGTATAGATGCGTCTCATAAGTTATGATGTGAGATGACTTTACTGTGTCACCCTATACCATTTCCTAAATTATCTCTATATTTTATTTTGCTTTTGCCATTAATTTTCCAGCTGTTGCAAACATTTTTGTATAAAGAATTATTCATTAGAAAGATGCATAACTTACAGTGATGCGACACAACGTTAATTTTAATATGCAAGTTTGAAATCGTTTTACAGTTTTCTGTTTGATTTTCTTTAGATTCCCTGAGTATTTCAAACCTGAATTTGTACAAAATAAGAACAGTTCACCATATTGAWTTCCAAAATTCATTCAAATTTTAAAATGATTTTCAGTAGCGCAAATGATGCTTCTTAACTGAAGCAGCCTYTTTAACTTCAAGAGTAATCAACCAAAGATAGTTCACCWACTCCCTAAAAACGAAGATGTTTTTTCGAAAACATTTGACTTGTGTTTATAATTTGAACGCTTGTAAAATTTAGTCACTTACAAGCCGCAATATTGCTTTAAACTTGCAACTGCACTTGTACACAAAATATACACAAATGAAAAAAAATGCGACCTGGCATCTGAATTCGAGACACCGTGTAGTAAAGCGAATTATTTTGCTTTAAGTTAGGCGTGCATGGAAGTGAGATTAGTGAATTAAATGCTAT